AATAGTGTTATGACCAGGCAAATTAAAGAAGAAAAAGTTTCTGAGCTTGGCTTTTCCTAAATTGCTTTGATGAAAGACATTCTAACAAGCCTTAGGTTCTAAAATACAACCTCTTCCTCATCCAGTGCTGTTGCTTTTGTTTTAATAGTGCCAATAGTGTTTTAATAGTGAGAATTCAGCCTTACAGTGATCTCAAAAGGGGACATATATTTTCATTCTTCAAATACACCTTGAGTTAGGACTGATATAAAAGAGAAAGATGACTGATGCTAAAAGTTAATTGATTGTGTCATTTCAAAATGCTCTTTGCAAGTTCAGAACTCTGGCTGCTTGTAAATTAGGGTACCCTTTATAAAATCCAAAGTACTGCCATAAATCCCCTTGCACTGTAGATGGATACTTCGGAAGTCCAGTTAAGAGTTATATCGTTCAAGATCTCCAATGACCTCTTCTTGCTTTCTTCATGGTTCATTTGGGGGATGGGGAGGCCAAGGAAATAGTACTAAGGTCATAACTCTTAAGATGGCTGGATAGCTCAGTGAGTTAAGTATCTGGCTGTGGAGTCAGAGATGGGAAATTCAGGTCCCCACTGTGAATTCCAAAAGAGCCAACCAGTGTGGCTTTCAGCAAGCTTCACGGACTCAGGATGACCCTAGGCAGTGGCAAACCACTTCTGAATACTAGACCTAGTAAACCATGCAAAGGGGTGTCATCAGTCAGAACTGATGACAGCACACAATTCTTATTATTTTTTATCATGCATTCCACACTGATATTTCCCCATTCCCATCAAATTAGAAATACTGTGAAATCATTGTTTTTCAAGACATTTGCTCAAATGTGAGTCCTATGTTAAGGCGTCATGAATTATCCATGACTTAATCTTCTGTTGGTCTTTCTGCCCCCTCATTTGTTTAGGGATACCTTGAGAATTCAGCCTTACAGTGATCTCAAAAGGGGACATATATTTTCATTCTTCAAATACACCTTGAGTTAGGACTGATATAAAAGAGAAAGATGACTGATGCTAAAAGTTAATTGATTGTGTCATTTCAAAATGCTCTTTGCAAGTTCAGAACTCTGGCTGCTTGTAAATTAGGGTACCCTTTATAAAATCCAAAGTACTGCCATAAATCCCCTTGCACTGTAGATGGATACTTCGGAAGTCCAGTTAAGAGTTATATGGTTCAAGATCTCCAATGACCTCTTCTTGCTTTCTTCATGGTTCATTTGGGGGATGGGGAGTCCAAGGAAATAGTACTAAGGTCATAACTCTTAAGATGGCTGGATAGCTCAGTGAGTTAAGTATCTGGCTGTGGAGTCAGAGATGGGAAATTCAGGTCCCCACTGTGAATTCCAAAAGAGCCAACCAGTGTGGCTTTCAGCAAGCTTCACGGACTCAGTGAAGTTAATCCGTGCAGGAAAAAACATCGCTAAGGGATTTTGTCGCTAAGCGATTTTAAAAAGCCCATAGAAATGCATTAAAACGCGTTTAATGCATTCCTATGGGCTTCAAAACTGACCTTATGCGAAGATCCCCCATAGGGGTGGCCATTTTCGGTGCCTTTAATGCAAGGACACCCAGCGGGTGGCCATTTTGTTTTTCAAACTGCCGATCAGCTGTTTACGATCAGCTGTTTAGAAAGGGCCGCTTCCCTGCGATCATTGCAAAGCGATTTTTACCCATAGGGACCATCGCTAAGCGATCGCTCTGGCGATGGCCAAAACCCCATCACTAAGTGATTTCATTGCTCAACGGAGTGATTGCTAAGCGAGGCACCACTGTATATACAAGAATGGTCATTTAGTCTGAATTATAGCTACTGAGTCACTTATGAAGGAGCACTGAAACATGCATGTGTGAAAACGTAAAGAAGAGGAATTGATAATAGTGAACAAATGGAAACTAAAACTTCAAATTTCACAAGAAAGCTACAGACAGTGTAAAATGACAGTATATCTGAGAATTAAGAAATTGCAGAATTCATCAAACAAGTTCTGCAAGCATCTGTGTATCTGCTTCGCAGCCATAGCATACAAGGGATACTCTAGTTTTTTGAGTTTATTAATTAATCCATTTATAAAATACAAAGTCCTTTACTAAATTTAATATTCAAGACATCAGCACAGCAGCCAAAGCCAAACATGAACAACCAAATTTGAAATCTAATGTTTTGCTGAAAATAATATTAGTAGAGCAACTCCTGGCCATACATCCTGTGTCTTGTCAGAAAGCCTACACAAATGCCATGACTTTATATTTCTTTTCAAATGAATGATATCATATAGCTTTCACTTACCCTATAACAATACAAGAGATGGCAGTCCCCAAAAAGGCATATGCTAAAACTGATCCCAAGTTACGAAAAAAATGCCTCTGTAAAACAGAAAAAGAGAACGGATGAGCAAGCATTACAAACATTATGTGGTTTAACATATAAACGTATCCTTATACATCAAATTTACAAGGCACAAAATGTCTATTCTCAAACTCCCTTTGTAGTTTTGCTCTGAACGTCTGTTATAATTAATCATCATGAATTTTTGCATTTGGGAGACCTCAAGCAAGTGAGACCAACACTACTTCCTCCTATGGTGTGATAATTCCTTTCTAGTCCCATTGGTTCCAGTGCTTGGATAGTAGGGAAAGCAGAATATTTTAACCTTATGATAATCTTCTCTTCTGGAAAGCTATGAGAGGGTCAAGTTGGTAAGAAGGCATGTTTGGTCATTTCATGTCACAGGAATTCCTGATTCTGGCCATCTTCGTTCCTGACCGAGTAATGTCAGCTTTGTGCCCTGGCAACAGTTTGAGCTGGTAGGTGAGGGCACAGCTACTTGTTTCAGAGTTGAGGGAAGTGGCTCTCTGGAGGCAGGGCTGGTAGCCTGGACACCAGTTGTACCACTGGACATAAACCCTACTAGTAGACCCATCTGACATTTACTTTGGGAGCACAGCATGGGGGAGCAGCAAAGGCACTTCTGCTGCTGCCATTGACCCAGGAGAGTCCCTATTCAATGAAAAGGCCAAGTCAAATTGTCAGAAGAGAAGGGTTGCCAGCATCAGCTATACATCTCCCAGCTACTTCAGCTGGCTATTTCAACAGCTCTGAGGAAGGAGGCAGTTCGCTTGATTTTGTGTTGCACAACGCCTCCATTCTGATGTTTTCTTGGAGCCAGAAGTGCTGGCTTCTGAAGTTGGTGGGGAATAAGTTGCTGTCTCCTCCTACTTCCACCCTTTGCCTACAGTATTTGGATTCACCCTTTGGTGAACGGATTGGCTTTGCTGGAGCCTCTCCCCACTCCATAATCCTATGGCTCAGGGTGAACATGCTAAGATGTTGTGCTCTGCCTGCTGGGATGGGGAGAGATGCCCACCTTCTGTAATGCTCAGTATATGTTTATGTATATGTGTGTGCATATATTGTACACCAGCCTACCTAAGTGCACAAGCATCATGGGAGAGTGGCACAGGCCCCTGCCACCATGCAGTTTGTGGGATGGGAGGTACTTTACTTTCTGCTTCAGGCAGTAGGATAGCTGGGTGTCAATCCAAACTTGTGAGGTGCTCAACAGTGGTGGCTTTAGCTGTTGGTTAGCTGTTAAAGACCTCTCTCATTTCCCAGGCCTTCTCTGACTGACTGTACTGTCTATTTTGCTATTTTTAGTACCTTGCATTTTATGAACTCTCTTCCTGAACGATTTTGCTGGGGAAAGCATTGTAACTGGTGTTTGACACATTGCGATTTTTAAAAAATGCATTTTCTGTGGACAGAGCTAGGAATTTATCAGTGAGCTAAGGACTCTGGTTTGCTGTTTCAGGCCTTCCCTGGTTTTTGATACATTCCAGGTCTCAAAATCGTCAACGCAGCATGCAAGGAAAATCTACATTATTGACTTGTATGATACAAATAGGAATCAAAATGATAATTTCAGATTGAAAACGTTTCCCTCAAACTCATAACTTTGATATCTCTCAGTAATACCATTTTAAAACACTTCCTAAGTGGTAGTTTTACAAATCTTTCTGGCTGGCTCTTTCTATCAACAAATACAGCAGGTCACCTACTGTGACTGTAAAGAGAAATTACTTACTTTCTTTAAACTGTATCCTGCATGAAATATAATGGGAGGTAATAAAACATTGAAGAAGATTGAAGGATCAAAAGTCATCTGTCAGAAAAAAACAGACCAGGTAAGAAAAAAAAATCATGAATTATATATATATAACACCCGTAAAAATTCAGAATAAAAAAAACAGCAAATGACTATAATGTACCAAAACTCAGTTGAACACAGGATGATGAAATAGCAGCAGTGTGCATGGTATTTTTCAACTGAATCAGTCATTCAGAGGGGTAGCAATATTATGGTAGTGTGGCGTAGTAGATGAGTGAAAGACTAAGACTTAGGAGGCCTGGATCCAAATCCCTGCTCAGCCATGGAAGCTGTCGGGGAATGTGTCACTGGTACAGCCACTCCTTAAATATCTCACTTACACTGAAAGCCCTATTAGGGTCACTATAAGTTCACTGTAAGTCTGTAAGTGCAATGTTAGTCTGTTGCAGCAAAAAGACAACTGGTTTTGTACATAGTACCTTAAAATACTCATTCATTGTGCCATAAACGTTGTTATATAATTTTCTCTCTTTTTGTTTAGCTGAGCAGATGAATTTCACCAGATATGGGTAGTAAGTATATCTGCAAACTCATTTTCTGTCTAAAGCTGACTAGGAGCTGATCAAGACAAATTTCTTTAAACTGCACTCTACGGCAACTGTCCCATTCACATATGCAGTAGCAGCTTCAATTGTTAGGATCTGTTTGTATACAGTTCTTACGGGAGCCTTTGTGACAATTTCCTATGGTAGTCATTGCTTATGAAAGGGTTGTCAACTACTACCACACATGTTACCTGTGTGGGCATGTGTGTGTCTGATCAGCCTTAAAAAAGCCTGAAAATACTGCTAGTCAAGCATAGGCATGCAGATGATCATTACGAAGTAAAGCAGCTGCTGACAGCAATGACAGTGCAGAAATGATACACATAACACATAAAAGATCAATTCTTTTAAAAAACTTGCCAGTTTATGAATGGGGGATATTGCACTTCTGTATCTACAATTTAAAAAATCAGAAAATGGCTCCATATTGCTGCACGATATTGTCCCTGCATTGCCAGCAGGAAAAAGGATGCCAAGTTTTATATAACAAAGGACAGCTTGAATGTTGACAGCAGTCAAGATGGTCTACAAGATACCTTTTTGTGCTCACTACCATTCACAAAGTGACCCCACACAAGAGATAATCCTGGACGCTTACTCCTTTGTTTTTCATTAGTAACCACTTCTCACCAAAACATAAAGCAATCATCACAGCTGTGTTTTTGGCAAGACAGAATTGGAATTAACCCTAGTCACACTGGAGTGAAAATTCCTTCATTCCAGTCTGTCTGGGGTCTGGTCCCACCATGCTTCCAATGATCACTGCCAACAAAACATGGTGCCAGAGGTAAATTTGGGACTGTCACCTACATTTATTATAATTTAAAATTTCAATTGGCCATCATGCTGTTTCTAAGGTAAACTGCAAACTCATAATGAAAACTCATAAATGAAACTCAGATAAAACCATAGTTTAATCATGGCATTAGACAGGACTCAACGTTGCCACTTCAGTTTCCAGAGCAGGAATGGGGAGAATCTTTCCCTTATAGCTCTTTCCATGATATATACATAACCTGGTTATGACAAAACTAGGTTGGGTGAGTATGAGGATGTGCTGTTCTCACTATGGATCTCTCTCCTTTTCTGACACAGTTTCTCTCCCCATCTCATTTTCCCTCTGCTTCCAAACTTTGTATTTCCGTATCTGGTGAGGCACTGTCAGATTCTAGTGTTTTGTTCCTCCCTCTGTCTCTCATTCACCTCTTAACATATGTATACATGCTGTCTCAGTCTCACAGGGTCCTTCAGTTAACTTTATTCCTCATACTTGAAAAGCAATTTATTTAAGTGCATACAAATATGTAATCTATGCACCAAGGAGTGTTTGTTATTTTCAACCTTTCATAAACTAGCGAGGCAAACGGCTCTGAACAAATGTTACTCATTTAGCTTCTTAATCTCTCTTAAAATACCAGAAGAGAGAAACCGTGGTGTATGATCCCATTTTATACGATGCATTTATTTTTCTGAATTTATACCACACTTTCTCATCAAAAAGAGCAGTCAAGACAACAATCCAGGATAACTCTTCTGATGTTGTTGTATGTGTTTGAAATTCCTGGTTTGGCTTGGCAAATGTACTCAAAACAAGATTCTGCCTTTATTCTGGCTAAAATGGGGAAGTGTGAGGCTTGAAAGCTCTCTGCCACTGAAAGCAGTTTTCCTGGAACATAAACGGCTTGCTATTATTATCCAGCAGTTTCATTTAACAAAAGGATTGCTTGAATTATTTTAACAATGATTACTGTATGCCTGCTAATTAGCAAATCATAACCCTTCATTTTCTTTTGTATTCCCATCAGGACCAATAGGAAACAATGTCGTAGCAATGGAAAATAGTGCCCATAACACTCTCCTTGCTTCTAAGGAGCTTCAGCATAATAATCTTCTACATGCCAAAGTCAAGATGATGCAATAATTCTCTGTGGGTTGTTATCATATTCTTAGAACCTCAAGGAATTGTTTCTTTCATAAGGCAGGTGTCAGCTCCTTCTTCCAGTGTCATGAAAAGGATGACTGCCCAGAAGCAGCCATGGGTACTTGTATTATAAAATATGAATAGGTTTAAGGTCTTTCTTGTATCAGTGCACTGAACAATTTTAAATTATAGATATATATGAAATATAGATCAAATTAAAAACAAATTAAAATGTTAAGCTCATTAGACTGTTTTTGACCAGACATAGGCTGCTTCAATGGCATTTGCTTGGCCGTTTGCTAGCTCTTCTTTTATCTGGTCCCATTTCCTGGCTATTCTGACTGGCAGTGGTTTAACGTAAGCCCGGCTCCTGAATATGCAGTTTTTGAAGAAGTTGTCTCCTCAGCATGTTTCTCTCAGCACTTGTGTCTGAGGAAGTGGAATATAGTCTATGAAAGCTCAAACTGAAATAAAATTGTTATATTTTGAAGTGCTCAAATATTTTGTGGGTTTCTTTCTGTCCCCCCCCCAAATATTCAAGTGGCAGCAATATTTTTAACCACTTTTACGAGCCAGGTTTTTCTGGTAGCTTTTTCTTTTGGAGTCAGTTATGTGCATTCCAGGTTATTTCCAAGCTGGACTACTGCAACAAACTGGGGCTGCTTTGGAATTTTCAGTCAGACTGAATTGCAACAGCCAGATTTTTGTAACAGCTAGATTTCTGAAGAATTAAAATATAATCATCCCATTTCATTTTTGCATCAACTACTTATAGTTTTGGTACTTTTATTTATTTATTTATTTATTTATTTATTTATTTATTCATTCATTCATTTATTTATTTATTTATTTATTTATTTATTTATTTATTTATTATATCCCGCCTATCTAGTCGGTTAAGACCACTCTAGGTAGGCTTACAAAAACAACTAGCAATATATATAAAAACAATACTACGTAGAAACAGAACTTTAGTATTCTAAATTCTGCTGTATCAGGCTTTGTTCAAGACCACATTTTGGCCTTCAGTGCACTGCAGCTATAATACCTTGAGAAAGGTCTATCTTTACATGAACCTGCCAGCTAGTAAGATGAGCACTAGAAATCATGGCCATTGTTTTATTTTTGTACAAGCTTAACTAGATGACTATGTGAGAGAAGGTACATTTTTAGATATCTGGTAAGACTTATTTCAGTCAGTTTTTAATGAATGGATTCAGCATGCTATCTAGCTCTCTATCTATCTGTCTATATTATTTTATTATTTATTAAGAGGTCTTAGATTACAAAGGTCACATTTCCCCCCCCCCCCCACCACCACCCTTGGTGCGCCTGCTGATGATGAGGTTGAGGGGGGGGCAGATGCACGGGGGGGGGAGAGAGATTCCAAAAAGGGCAAAACACAAAAAGCACAAGCAAAACACCGGGCACCCCTGCCTTGTTCCAAAGTCATGTCCCTTCCGGTGCCACGACAGGGAGGTACCCATGTATCCTTTGTATATAAAATAAATAAATCTCTTTAGCCACCATTGATACGTGAAGGTGTTTGCCTGGATCTTTTGAGTGAGTTTTCTTCCCTGCCGAGGGAGACATTTGGTTTTCGTGGCCCTTGCCAACACCTACCTGCCCACCCACCCCCTTGGGCTTTTCGTGGCTATGGGTTACCAAAATAACATGGCCTCGGTGAGGGTGCCCATCCTGCCGCCCTGCTCTCGTCTTCCTTCCACGAGCCATTCTGCCACCAGCCAGCCGCCTGAACCCAATGGTTAGGATTTACAAGGCAACACATGGAATCGGTCACCAGAGGGTAGGTTGACATTTATATGAATCCCACGGGATCAGTGGGCCTGCTCTCATAATCGAAATTCAATGCCCTTTGAAAGTTATCTCAAGAACCCAACATTGGTCATGTCAAGAGAGGGGAGCCATCCACAAACAGATCAACTTGAGGTATTGCCCATTATTGCATGCCTGCTCTGGCCCACATCTTTCATCGTCCAACATGGACAGAATTTATATATTTTATTTATATCCCGCCTATCTAGCCAGTTAAGACCACTCTAGGAGGCTTACAAAAACAACTAGCAATATATATAAAAACAATACTACATAGAAACAGAACTTTAGTATTCTAAATTCTGCTGTATCAGGCTTTGTTCAAGACCACATTTTGGCCTTCAGTGCACTGCAGCTATAATACCTTGAGAAAGGTCTATCTTTACATGAACCTGCCAGCTAGTAAGATGAGCACTAGAAGTCATGGACATTGTTTTATTTTTGTACAAGCTTAACTAGATGACTATGTGAGAGAAGGTACATTTTTAGATATCTGGTAAGACTTATTTCAGTCAGTTTTTAATGAATGGATTCAGCATGCTATCTAGCTCTCTATCTATCTGTCTGTCTATATTATTTTATTATTTATTAAGAGGTCTTAGATTACAAAGGTCACATTTCTCTCCCCCCCCTCCCGGTGAATAAAGCCCATGAGATATTATGAGGGAGTCTTCTTGTCCAGTTCTGACAGC